GACGGCGCTGGAAGCATCGTATCTATCCGAATGTTCGCGTGACATGGGGTTTAGGGTTTTAGGGTTTTAGGGTTTAGGGTTTTAGGGTTTTAGGGTTTTAGGGTTTTAGGGTTTTAGGGTTTTAGGGTTTTAGGGTTTTAGGGTTTTAGGGTTTTAGGGTTTTAGGGTTTTAGGGTTTTAGGGTTTTAGGGTTTTAGGGTTTAGGGTTTAGGGCTTATAAGGTTTAGGGTTGCCTACTGGGAAAGAGCCCGGCTGCCCTAAACCTTCAAAGCCAATACGTAAGATCATCGGCATATGGGGGGTGTACTGGTTGGCCGGCTCGAGACACGTGTGGGCCATGAGGTTTAGGGTTTAGGGTTTAGGGTTTAGGGTTTAGGGTTTAGGGTTTGGGGTTTGGGGTTTGGGGTTTAGGGTTTAGGGTTGCCGTCGGGTTTCCTGTGCTACTGGCAGGGCCTGTTTGGAGAAGGCTCCAGGGTATTTGGACATGCAGCGCCAAGTAAACGAGCCTGTGGTTCATATACCTTAAGGAGTTTTGGGGGCTTTAGGGTTTAAGGGAAGCCCTTGAGGTTCAGGGTTTAGGGTTTAGGGTTTAGGGTTTAGGGTTTGGGGTTTAGGGTTGCTCGGCCCCCTGCGGCGTTCAGGTCGTCCAGGCTCGCGCTGGCCTGGCCCATGAGCTCGAACGCGGTGGCTCGCCGAAGCAGGGTCTGCGAGGAGGCTGAGGAGCCCTAAACCCCAAGACGCTCAAGCTTAGGGTTTAGGGTTTCGGGTTTAGGGTCCCTAAACCCTAAACCCTAAACCCTAAACCCTAAACCCTAAACCCTAAAGCCCTAAACCCTAAAACCTAGGGTTGGGAACTGTATCAAGGGTGTCCGACCATGCCCTCATGTGATCTCATGTGCCCCTAGAGGTTCCATTTTTAACGCGTTAGTTTCGTCGTTTAGGGCACCCTAAACCCTAAACCCCAAACCCAAAACCCTAAACTGGGTGGAGTTCATCCTTCTCTCCCTGGCGCAGGAGTGCCTCGGGTCGGGTTTCAAGGGTCTTGTGGGAGAAGTTTTGCAGTCTGACTCTTCACATAGAGCTTTGTCGACGCGTGGGGGGCAGTCTCATGTCACGTGGAGAAGGTAACGCTGGGATCTTCGTCTTCAGCACTTTGGACGACCTGGGCCTACCCTAACCAAACCCCAAATGATTGAGTTCCTGGCTTGGGGTTTCTCAATTGGGGAGGGGGGGGGGGGGGTTAAAGGGGGGGGGGGGGGTGGGGTCATAGGGGGGGGGGGGTTGATAAACGTGTTCGCATGAAACACTAAACCCTGAAACCCTAAACCCTAGACCCGCAGAAACTTTGGCTTCGGAGCCTCGGGGGGGTCTGACGGGGTCAGGTTCCTCCGGGTTTACAGGTTTACGGTGCCCTTCCCCCCCACCCCCCCCGCCAATATGCCGCGGTTCAGGCATGTCATCTTGTATGATGTGCTCTGCATCCGTGAGTTTTTGAGGAGTGGAATCGTCTGTCATGAGGCCACGCTCACCCTAAATCCAAAACCCTATAATCCTAAAAGCAAGCAGCTGTTCGCCTTGACGAAGAGTCTGCGGCGCGTCCGCTGGAGTGGGTGCTGCGGGCCGAATCCGGCCTGCTTCGGTTTAGGGATTAGGGCTTGGGGGTTCAGGGTTTAGGGTTTGGGGGTTTAGGGTTTAGGGTTTAGGGTTTGGGGTTTAGGGTTTAGGGTTTAGGGGTTTGGGGTTTAGGGTTTAGGGTTTAGGGGTTTGGGGTTTAGGGTTTTGGGGTTTGGGGTTTGGGGTTTAGGGGTTTAGGGTTTGGGGTTTAGGGTTTAGGGTTTTGGGGTTTGGGGTTTAGGGGTTAGGGGTTTGGGGTTTGGGGTTTGGGGTTTTGGGTTTTGGGTTTTGGGGTTTAGGGTTAAGGGTTTTGGGGTTCAGGGCTCCGGGCTCAGGAAATTGTGGGGGTTTGGAGTTTTGAGTTTATGGGCTGAGGGTCTCGGGTTGAGGGGGCGTCAGGATTTGGGGTTGTAGGGTTTAGGATTTAGAGAGTTTAGGCTTTGCGGTTTCAGGTTTACTTAGAGTGTAGGGTCTTGGCTTGTAAAATTGAGGGCCCTTTGGGGGGTTTGAGCCCCTGAAAGAGACTGTTCTTCTTTCTGGCTGGTGGAACGCCACAACGACTGTGCACCAAACTCTCCCAGAAGCCAGGATCGAGAGCGCATGCCCCGATTTGCAAAATCGAATACCATCACGCAAAGAGGTGGTCCTAGTTGGCGAGCTGTTTGGATGGAGTAGGGCCATCACTTTGGGCTCAAGATGACATGTGGGGCTTCTGGGGGTAAGGGAAACCTTACACCCCGAACCCAAAACCCAAACCCGAATCCCCAAACACTAAACCCTAAACCCCCCCAAACCCCTAAAACTCTGAAACCCTGAAAGCCCAAAAGACCCTATAAACCTTGTAAACCCCGTAAATCCTGACAAAAACAAAAACAACACCCCCCAACAAACCTAAACCCTAAATAAAGCCTAAACCCTCATTAACAAAAAAACAAACTAAACCCTAATTAGCAAAAAAACCTAAACTCCAAAAAAAAGATGCCTAAACCCTAATTTAATAAACAAAGCCTAAACCCTAAACAAAAAAAAAAACTCAACCCTGAGCCCGGCCTGGCCGCGCCCAGACCGCCGCTGAGCCAGGACCTGACAGGGAGCAAAGAGGTGAACCCCCAAGCCCTAAGCCCTAAGCCCTAAACCCTAAACCCTAAACCCTAAACCCTAAACCCTAAGCCCTAAAGCCCTAAAGCCCTAAGCCCTAAACCCTAAGCCCTAAGGCCTAAGGCCTAAGGCCCTAAGCCCTAAACCCTAAATCCTAAGGCCTAAAGCCCTAAAGCCCTAAGCCCTAAGCCCTAAACCCTAAACCCTAAACCCTAAGCCCTAAAGCCCTAAAGCCCTAAAGCCCTAAACTCTAAACCCTAAGGCCTAAGGCCTAAAGCCCTAAAGCCCTAAGCCCTAAACTCTAAACCCTAAGCCCTAAAGCCCTAAGCCCTAAACCCTAAACCCTAAGCCCTAAGGCCTAAGGCCCTAAGCCCTAAACCCTAAATCCCCTTAAAACCCCCTTAAACCCCTTTGAACCCCCTCTAGCGCCTTGAACCCCGAAACCCGAAACCCTTGACCCCTTAAGTCCTAAACCCTCTAAACCCTCTAAACTCTCTAAACCCTCTAAACCCTCTAAACACTCTAAACCCTTTAAACCCTCTAAACCCTCTAAACCCTCTAAACCCTCTAAACCCTCTAAACCCTCTAAACCCTTTCAACCCTCTAAACCCTCTAAACCCTCTAAACCCTCTAAACCCTTTCAACCCTCTAAAGCCTCTAAACCCTCTAAACCCTCTAAACCCTCTAAACCCTCTAAACCCTCTAAACCCTCTAAACCCTCTAAACCCTTTCAACCCTCTAAACCCTCTAAACCCTCTAAACCCTCTAAACCCTTTCAACCCTCTAAACCCTCTAAACCCTCTAAACCCTCTAAACCCTCTAAACCCTCTAAACCCTTTCAACCCTCTAAACCCTCTAAACCCTCTAAACCCTTTCAACCCTCTAAACCCTCTAAACCCTCTAAACCCTCTAAACCCTCTAAACCCTCTAGACCCTCTCAACCCTCTAAACCTCTAAACCCTCTCAACCCTCTAAACCTTTTAAACCCTGAACCCTATACCCTCCCCCCCCGCCCCCCGCAATCAATGAGCCGCATCTATAGGGAAGGTGACTTAGGGCTTCGTGCTTTATGGGGCTTGCAGGTTTTTTAGAGCTTTGGGTTTTTGGTTGGGGTTACGGGGCTTTTCAGGTTCGAGGGTCCGGGGTGGTTTAGGGTTTAGGGTTTAGGGTTTGGGGGTTTATAGTTTTGGGGTTATAGGGTTTGTTCTACAGCCATCAGGTCACCGGGAGGCGGGGGGGGGGGGGGGGGGAGGCGCGAGGGATTGCGTGGGTAAGGGGGTCTCGAGGATTTGGGTCACAGTCTCCGAATCTGTCCCCGAAACCCAGAATCACAAAACCCCTAAACCCTAGATGGAGCCCCTAAACCCTGAACCTAAACCCTAAACCCTCAAGGCCAGGATGAATAGAAATTGTACGTGTTTCATTACGAGCAGCTCGTGCAATAACCGTACATCCTTCACAGTGCGAAAATATCAGACAAAATGCACGGCAACGAAAAAAACGAACAGCCTCCAGCCCCAGGGGGTTTAGGGTTTAGGGCTTAGGGTTTAGGGTCCAGCCCCATCCCAAGCCAAGCTCCAGTCCCAGCCCCAGCCCAGCCCCCAAGTCAAAATGACAAAAGCAAACCCGACCAACCCCGACAAAACTCCGGACGTAAACCCTTTACAATTTCTATACACCCTAAACCCTAAACCCTAAACCCTAAACCCTAAACCCTAAACCTCAGTACCTCTTCGAGGTCCAGCTCCTGGGCTTCCTGTCGCAGCGTGGCCTGCGAACAACCGATCGGGGGACCCAAGGAGGGACGCTTTTGCACGGGACCTTTTTGCGTTTAGGGTTTAGGGTTTGGGGTTTGGGGTTTAGGGTTTAGGGTTTGGGGTTTAGGGTTAGGGGTTCTTTGGGAATTAGTTTAGGGTCTATAGGGACGATATAAGGTTAAAGAAAACATATGTATATATATATATATGTATGTATGTATATATATATGTATAATATACATATATACATACATATAAGGGTTATATAGGGGTGATATAGGGGAATGAGATTAAGGGTCCCTTCTAGGGGTCCCTTCTTATACCCCTTAGCATGAGATGGAGGGGTTAGAGGGCTTAGGGCTTCGAGCTCAAGGTTGAAGCTTAGGTGGTTTAGGGCTTAGGGCTTAAGTTTTCGGCGTTAAACCCTAAACCCTAAACCCTAAACCCTAAACCCTAAACCCTAAACCCTAAACCCTGAACCCAGTAAACCCGATGCGCGCGCACTTTTTTCCTCAGAAAGGTCTGATGCTCCTAAGCTCGATGTCCGTGTCCCTGGATGCCCTCTGCGCATTGCTCAGCCTCAGATGCCCAGCATCCTAACAAAGTTGCTCCCTAAACCCGGGTTTAGGGTTTAGGGTTTAGGGTTTAGGGTTTAGGGTTTTGAACTATGAAGCCGAACCTTAAGTTTCAGGGCTTACACAGGGCCGATGTCACTTGGCAAGGCGCATCCATATCACAAACCAACAGTGTGTTTAGGGTTAACTTATAGAGTCCTAGAGGCTGAACACCCTAGCCCAAAGCAGGCTAACCTTTTCTTGGTAATGGGATTGTATAGAATAGAATCCCCTTAAAGGGGCCCGCAAAAAGGTACCCCTATTTTCGGAAACCCCCGTATATAAACCAAACAGGTTAAAGGTTAACTACCCAGCCCCTAAGTTAAGGCTAGCGAGTAGGGCTAATGACACGAAGCAGCCGAGTCCGTCGTACAAGCAATGCCGCCAGGGCCACGAAGAGCAGGACGACCGTAGCCATGGCCTTAGGGTTTAGGGTTTAGGGTTTAGGGTTTAGGGTTTAGGGTTTAGGGTTTAGGGTTTAGGGTTTAGGGCTTAGGGCTTAGGGTTTAGCTTTTAGGGGCTCGAGGCTTTCAAGGAATTCTAGGGGTTTGAAGTTTGGGATCAGGAAGGTCGAAAACACGAGGAAGCCAATCAACGAACCCTAAATGAGCCCCACACCCTAACTAAGCCCTATGTAAGTCCGAAGCGTCCTAGCCGCCAAGAGACCCTATACCATGTATCCTAAACCCTAAACCCTAAACCCTGGAGTCTGCGAAAAGGGTGTGTTATTTGGTACTCCAGATTCCATCCGACATCGCTGATGCTCCTTCAAAAGCATGCACAATCATGAGCCACTACACTGCGTGATTTGAACTTCGCCCCTAACCCTAGCCCCTAACCCCTAACCCCTAAACCCTAAACCCTAAACCTTAAACCCTGAACCCTAAACCCTGAACCCTGAAGCCTGAACTTCGCCTCATCCCTCGATGAGTTTCAATAGTACTCTGACGCACAGGCGCCGCAGTGAAGCGCCACGGCTCCCAGGGACGCGGAGGAGGCGGTGCGGTGAGCCCCAAGCAGCTTCCCTCCTGTGCGTCTCGGGCTTCATTGGGTTTAGGGTTTAGGGTTTAGGGTTTAGGGTTTAGGGTTCGGAGGGTTTCGGAGGGCTTCGGAGGCTTGAGGGCTTCGGAGGGCATAGCTTCGCGCAGGTTTTGGTCGGATTTCGTCGTGAATAGGGCTTGGTAGGCTTTCGCCAAAAGGAGGGCGTAGTGGGATGCAGTAGGGCTTGTAAAGCTTCGTTGAGTTTCGTAGGGATTCGTAGAGTCTCGCAGGATGCGTGGGGCAACCCCAACGCACAAGCTAACCCTTCACCCTTGTGCTTCTGCTTTTGCCTAAGGGATTGGAACACCGCTGCTCGAGCGCTTAACTTAACACTAAATCCTAAATCCCCACCCAAGCCCTATCTTAGTTGTCCAGTATCCTAGGGGAACTGAAGGTTAACCTTGTACCCCAAAAAGATTAACGCGTTAGCCAGTCTGAGAATTACTTAGCAAAAGCCCTAAATTTAACAGGGCTTGGACATTCGACAGGGGACTTTGTGGGGCGCTGATCTGAAGGCGTGCGTGCATCATGCTGAGGTTTGAGCAAAAAACAGGGCTTCGGAAACGAGTGGTCCTTTTTTCCTTTTTTCCCTTCATAAGCATCTTGAGTAAACCCCAAACTCTGAACCCTAAGCGGAGAATTCTCAGCCCAGGTCCTTGACTTCGTAGTCCATGGAGCACGTGGTGTTCCTGGGGTGGATCCGTGTGCCCAAAAAAGAGACAGGCTTCCATGTTCATGTGTTCCTTACAGGGCCACGCAAGGAGTAGAGGACGCCCTCAAACCGTTAAAACCACCCTGAAACGCATTACCCTAAACCCTAAACCCTAAACCCTAAACCCTAAACCCTAAACCCTAAACCCTAAACCCTAAACCCTAAACCCTAAACCCTAATATCCAACATCCAACCCGAGGCTCGTATCCTGAATGATTGCGACATGCAGACCCCGCTTCAGGGTGCCATCGTCCTGGCGGCTGCTCTGCGTGTGGAAGGCTTCGGAGCAGAGGGGGCAGGGTTTGGGGTTTGGGGTTTGGGGTTTGGGGATTGGGGTTTGGGGTTTGGGGTTTAGGGTTTAGGGTTTAGGGTTTAGGGTTTAGGGTTTAGGGTTTAGGGTTTAGGGTTTAGGGTTTAGGGTTTAGGGTTTAGGGTTTAGGGTTTAGGGGCCCTAAGCTGTAGACCCTTGCAATGAAGAACTTGGTAGCCCAGCCACCGTAGTTTGATAACGGCACCATCCTTTGGGTTTGGTTACGAAACCCTAAACCCTAAACCCTAAACCCTAAACCCTAAACCCTAAACCGAAGAGAGGGAGAAGGGTACCACTGGGCTACCAACAGAGGACTTGAATCAAGGGATGCAGACTTAACTATACTCCCCTTAGAACCTTAATAAAAATCATAATTCCCAAGGGGGGATATATCCTTGGGACACCTTAACCCCAAACCCTAAACCCTAAAGCCTTAAACAATCATTCCCAAGGGGGATATAGCTAAAGCAGCCGAGAGGCAGGGTACCAAACCATCCGCGGCCTTGCAGACCATGCGCAGGAACCCTAAGCCCTGAACCCGAAAGCTTATGAACCCAATGCCCAAACAGGGTTTAGGGTTTAGGGTTTAGGGTTTAGGGTTTAGGGCTACAATCCCCTGCCACCACACCACACCCTGAAAGTAAGAACTGAGCTTGAGGTTGCGGGGGAATTTGAGGGTAACTTACCCTGAGCGTCCATGCACCAGATATTTTTTCCTGGGCCCCAAAGTCCCTATATAGGTAGCACTTTGAGGTACAAGTCTTCCCTTTTTTGGGACATGGACCCTTAGGAAGCCTTAGGAGCTGAGGGTGAGAAAGGGTTAGGGCTTGTTGCTGGTTTGTGGGTTGTCGGGCGTGGGAAGTCTTTGCAAGTTGATGGCTTGTTTAGCTTGTCTGCAGGCTGGGGTTTAGGAATTAAAAGATTGGTTTGGTCTATGTATGGTGTGGGCTTTGGGTTTTGCCCTAAACCCTATAAACCCTAAACCCCTAACCCCTAACCCCTAAACCCTAAACCCTAAACCCTAAACCCTAAACCCTAAACCCTAAACCCGATTGGGTTGGGTTTGGGGTTTGTGGCGTCGTGCTTAGGGGTTTGGAGCTTTGGGGACTAAGGCGGGGGGCTCGGAACTTTGACCCCTACACCCCGGCGCCCTTGGGCTTTAGGGATTTTAGGGTTGAACCCTAAACCCTAAACCCTAAACCCTAAACCCTAAACCCTAAACCCTAAACCCTAAACCCTAAACCCTAAACCCTAAACCCTAAACCCCAGACTGTGGGATGTACCCAGACCCTCAAACCTCAACTCAACAGCCGCCGAAGACCCGTACCGACGCTGCATCTAACTCTACGACCTCGGCCGGCACTTGGAGTTACCCCAAACCCCAAACCCCAAACCCTAAATCCTATATCCTATATCCCTAAACCCTAAACCCTAAACCCTAAACCCTAAACCTAAACCAGAGGAAAAAGTGCCTGCCTGCGAACAAGCCCAATCGAGGCGCCACGGCAGGAGTTCGGGATTTCCGACAAGGGCTTGCTGCAGGTAAACCTTGGGGTTTAGGGTTTAGGGTTTAGGGTTTAGGGCTTAGGGCTTCGGGTTTAGGGTATGAACCCCATTATAAGTCTACCTATAACCTACTTATAAAGGGTACTTAGGGGGCTTATTGCTGCAGGTGAACCTTAGGTGGTCAGGAAGGGGGTTTCGGGTTCATGGTCTTCGGGGCTAGGGTTCTTGGATTTTGTTGGGGCACCTGCGGGCTCAGGGAGCTGAGCGATGTCTTATACTTGCTTGGGGGGGGGGGTTAGGTTAGGGTTTGGGGTTTGGGGTTTCGGGTATATTAATAGGGTTTGGGTTTGGGGCTTGGGGTTTAGGGTTTAGGGTTTAGGGTTTAGGCTGTGCCTCTCGATCCGCGAACCCCAGGCCAGAAACCGAAACGGAGCTTCTTCGACTCAGGGATATTTTCAGGCTGAGGGTAAACCCTAAACCCTAAACCCTAAACCTTAAACCCTAAACCCTAAACCCTAAACCCAGGGTTTGGGTCAGGGTCCTCTTGCCTCCGGGTGCAGGGTTCAGTTCATTCGAGGTTTAGGGATTAGGGTTTGGGGCTTTAAAGTTTGAACTAGGTAGGTTCTGAATCTTTGAAGCCCTAATGCTAAGGGCCCTATCCCCTCGCGCCGTGTAAGCCCCGCATTCAGAAGCACCCTCCCCCCCCCCCCCCCCCCCCCCTCCGGAGCGCTTGCGGTTTAAGATGGGTTGTGGGTTTTAGGGTTTTCGGGCGTCTAGGGTTTGAGAATTAGGATTTGGGCCCGTTCTCTCTTGTGTTTGTGTAGTATGGTATTGTATTGTATTGTAGTGTATTGTATGGTATTGCATTTGCTTTTGGGGCGAGGGGGGGGGGGGGGGGTTCCCAGACCCATTCGTTTGTTTTCATTTGAGTCTTTTTCGAAACCTCAAAAAACTCTTCACCCCTAGGCCTTCAAACCCAAAACCTTCAACAAAAACGCTAAAGCCCTCAAACCCTACACCCTAACCCCCTCTAACCAAAACCCTAAGCCCCGCCTCAACGGGCTGCAGGCCATGGATAACTCCGGGTGTTCACACACCTTGGTCTGGCTCTGAAGTATGACCCCTCTGAGGAAGACTCTTCCCCAAACCCAAGACCCTGCCCAAACCCTGAACCTTAAGCCCTAAACGCAAACCCTTAACCCAAAACCTGAACCTGAAACCCTAAACCTCACACAACCCCCCCCCCCCCCCCCCCCCCCCGAAAAGCCCCACCAGCGTAAAAGACATCCTAAACCCTAAGCCCTAAACCCTCCCCCAAATCGCCGGCAAGGGCACTGGCTTCTGCGGCTCGGCATGGATGGTATTGGGGACCATGACCTCCTGCTTGAATAGAGGTGCCGAAAGCCACCGGGTTTAGGGTTTTGGGGTTTAGGGTTTAGGGCTTAGGGTTTAGTTTCCCCCCCCTTCATAGTAAAAGGAAGTGGAACCTCGGATCTTGTGGACATATATGCGCGTGGAATAATTGTAAATGCAACTCCAGTCGCACCCAAACCCGTAAACCCTAAACTCGACCCGAAACCCGAAATGGGGTTTCCGAGCATAGGGGTGACCTTTTGGGTATATCTTTATACATATATATATATACATATGTATACATACAGATATATATATATACACATGTATTATATATATATATATATATACATATGTATTATATATATATATATACGTGTTTTTGATTTGGGCAAAGTGAGGGTAACCCCCCAATATTTTTGGAAATACCCAACTACACACTCCCACAACGTTTGCCGGTGTCCTCCAGCTCGATCGTGAAGGCTGCCATGCACTGCATGTAGCACTGCACGACGGCTTTGGCCTAGGGGCACTCCTTGAATCCTATATGGGGGGGGGGGGGGGGTACCGAAAATAGGGGTACCCGTTTTGGGGGGTCCCATAATAAGGATTATAGTATTTTGGGGGAATATTCGGGTACCCCCTTTTTTTTGTAAAACCCCCATAGTACACGAAGAGCCCTCGAAGGGTTCTTTAGGACCCCAAAGAAAATGGCGCCAATCTTTGGAAATTTGTAGACACGAAAGCCCGAAGACTACGACTTGTAAGAGCCGGCCCATTTGCTGCAAGGATTGGGGGGCAGTGAACCCCATGCTTAAGAATAGCGAAACAGCTGAGACACTGCCATGAATGCGGAGTGCCCCCTAAACCCCAAACCCTAAACCCTAAACTACCCCGTCTGCCGAAGTTGCTTAGAGTGTGGGGGGTTTGCGGCTTGTAACGCTTCACAGATCGACGGATGGACAAGGACATCCTGGACACCCCAAGCCCAAAACCCAGTACACCCCCCCCCCCATATCGGTATCTTTATATCTATATACTTTATTGTTTTTCTATCTACTTGATTTATTTATATATACATACGTATATACCTGTATCCATGTGTGCCTATATATATATATAATCTTCGAAAGCCACGGCAGGTTGAGGTCTGAGTGCCGCGCGAAAGGGTCCACAAGCTGTTCCGCCCCTGCCTCGGACAAAAAAGAGACTACTGTAAACGTGCCTTACACAGCCCGAGGCCCTCAACCCTCAACTCTAGATCCTGAACTTCTAAACCCATAAACCCTTGAACCCTAAACCCTGAACCTGAACCTTAAACCCTAAACCCCTGAACCCTAAACCCTAAACCCCTGAACCCTGGACCCCTCATTCGTCAACTCTCAGCCTGGCACAACGTGTGGGGAACCTGCACAGTTTAGAGATTCCATTTCAGGGATTAGGGTATAGAGTTGAACCGCAAAACCCTAAACCCTAAACCCTAAAGGTTTAAGGTCCCCACCCAACCCGGGGTTCAGGGTTGAGGGTTTAGGGTTTAGGGACGTTGTTTGAAGGCTTTGTGTAGAGCCTATAGAGAGGCAATCCCACTGCAGCCGGCCTCCGTGCAACCACCTGGGCCGCGCAAGGTGTCCTGCAAAAGCTCCTGAGACTTTAGAGAGTCGGCTTTGGGCTTACAGGGTTTAGGGTTTAGGGTTTAGGGTTTAGGGTTTAGGGTTTCGGGTTCAAGTGCTTAGAGGGTGTTGCTACATGCCCAGTGCGGCCAGCGTTTTGACCGTCTTTGCCCCCAAAGCCTGTTACAGGAGCACCAGAAGACCCCTAAGCGCCCTAAACCCTGAAACACGAACACAGGGCCTATGCTGAAGCAGAATGGCCACAGAGGGCGCAGTTTCAATTGTATCTGCCGGGGGGGGGGGGCTACCAGGAGATCATATTGGCCATTTCGGCTTCGCCACTCAGATCCTCAGATCTCTCAAACAACGCAAGTCCCTGAATCCCCCAGCCTTTAGGGGTTCCCCTGTGATCCGAAGAGAAAACATCTGACAAGAAACAGGGGCCAGGAGACGACTTGACAGGAGCCGAGCGCGCTCCCGATGCAGCTTCCCAGTAGAAGCGTTCGCGAGCGCATGGCGTGACGGATTTAATGGGTGGGGACTTAGGGCTAAAGTTTAGGATTAGGAATTGGGGGGGCCCTTTGTGCCTCATCCAATGTATAACTACTAAATTATGGCTTAAGCCAGCAGCTACAAACTGACGGAATAGTCTCCGAACCCTAAACGCTCCCCAAACCTCAATCCCTAAACCCTTAAACCTAAACCCTAAACCCTAAACCCCAAACCCCAAACCCTAAACCCTAAATCTAAACCCTGACTACACCCTCAACTCTGTTCACCGGCTGCGTGCCGACAGCTGCAATGAGTCAATCATGGGCATCCCTGAGCAGACTTTTGGGTTTCCAGGGTTTAGGGTTTAGGGTTTAGGGTTTGAGGGGTTTAAGGTTTAGGGGCTTAACATAGGGTTTAGGGCTTCGGCTTAGGGATTCGGGGTTTAGGTCTAGGCTTTCGGGTCTAGGGCGTATAGGTTTAGGGCTTTGGCCGCACGCCAAGCAGACGTTTAGTCACACAGCGGCTTCGACTCGACCCTAATCCCAAAACCCTTAACCCTGACTCTCAAACCCTAAACCCTAAACCCCAAACCCTAAACCCTAAACCCTAAACCCTAAACCCTAAACCCTAAACCCTAAACCTAAACCCTAAACCCTAAACCCTAAACCCTAAACCCTAGCAGGCGAGGCTTCGGTCGGTACCCACATAGCGGATTTAGGGCTTAGGGAGGGGGAGCAAGTGTTCTTGCTTGAGTTCTACGAGGGTTTAGGGTTTAGGGTTTAGGGTTTAGGGTTTAGGGTTTAGGGTTTAGGGTTTGGGGTTGTCAAGTGCATCCGACTCGCAGCTATCACAGCATGGGCCACAGAACGCCAGGGCTTGGGGTTTAGGATTTAGGGTTGAAGAACCCAAAACCGACCTTCTTGCGGGCTCTTGTTCTAAAACACCTTTTGCATGATCCTAAGGGGCTTTGAGGGTCCTAGGACAAAAACCCGGTATACCTCCACCGCAAATCAACACTACCAGACCCCCGGCTGAAACTCTATCCCGAAACACTAAACCCCTGAACCCTAAACCATCCCCACACCAACCTACTTTGGGGCTTGGCGATTGAGAGCCCATAGGCTCTTATTAAGGGTTCAGCCCCAGGGTCTAGTTCAGGGTTCAGGGTTTTATGGTTCAGGGTTTAGGGCTTTTTTCACCCTGGTTCTTCATAGGGAATGAGGGAATGAGGGCATCTCTGTTTTCCCCTTTATAAGGGATTATATAGGGCCCTCCTTCCCTCATTCCCGACTAAGAACCAGCCAGTTTATGGTTTCGGCGTGTAAGGCTTTGGGGTTTCGACCTCCTTGCGGTTTTTCACCAGCCTCGGACCCCCGAATTTGAGGAGCGCGGGACCATGAAGGGCTCCTTGCCCCTGAGAGCAAAGAAGGTCAACTACAACCCTAAACCAAAACCCTAAACCCGAAACCCTAAACCCGAAACCCGAAACCCTAAACCCCAAACCCCAAACCCTAAACCCCAAACCCCAAACCCTAAACCCTAAACCCTATCCTGGCCTCCTCTTGGTCCCGTTGCGCTTCTTGCGCCTTCAGCGGGGGAGGTAGAGCCCCATACCCAGCAACTCTAGCAAGTTGAACCATGCGTTTTGAGTGCAACAATGCCTGAAGCTTCCGAAAAGCATCGTTTGCATTTGTGCAATGCGACTTGGGTCTTGTTGTGCATTCGGGTTTGTGGGGTATCTCTCCTGGGCTTTTGCAAGCCTGGTCCATTGGTGGGCTGTGGGGCTGCGTGGGTGCTTAAACGGAGCGAAAACCCAATCAAAACCCATGGTTTTTGCAAGATTCTGATCCATTGGTGGGCTCTGGGGGAAGCAACCACCGCCGCCCGAGCCAAGATTCCCCCACATAGTGTACTTGTCCATCTTGGTTACGGGAGAGTCCAGGAGTTTGCGGTTGTCAGCGGCAGCACAGGCAATCGGGCGTCCATTGCCACGTGTCTGCCACGCCAGGTCCACCTGAGCAGCACAACCCTCACGCAAAAATGCATCACACCCTACGCACATTTCGGGAAGCAAGCCTGCGCGGAGTTCATCATGTCCTCGGCCTCATTGTAGGGAAGAAAGCCTTAGTACCAAGAAGAGAAAACATTGTGCATGAGAGGAACGCGAAGAGTGCGTAGGTATATTTACATACATAACATCATGGAAAAGTATCACTGCGATGAAAATTTCAATGATTGCCCTTATTTCCATCAGCAGTCAAGCGGCATTTCAAGTTGAACCAGTCTCCAACTTTGGCCAGAACTCCCGCGCCACCAGTTTGTAGCCGTAGCCGCATAGGAAAAGACGGAAAGGGAGTTGTCGGTTGGCCTCCCGAAGAACGCGGCCCAGCAACTTGGAAGAGCAGGGGCGTGAGTTGCTCGCAAGACGCAAGTGGGCCACGTGCTCTTCCGGTTCCACTAGGACAGGATGCTGGGCTCCGTGGACCTGGAAGCAGGGTTCAAGTTCAAGTTTTAGGTTTGAGGGGTGAAAAACAGTGAGTATTCGGGTTTAAGCTTGATTTCGGCTTGTAGAGCTGCCTCCAGCTCGTCGTGGATGATCTCACAGAGCTTCTCTGCAAGTGCCTCCTGCTCCCTGAGCCTTGGCTTCTCCGGCCACGGCTGGGCCCTCAATGTGTAGGGGCCTTGATCGGAGGGCTCCAGGCCTGGAGGCATAGTCGAGGTCTTGCACCGCTCCGAGCGTCCTCCTAGTGTCCAAAAGTCTGCAAAGAGCTCCACATCCTGGGCGAGTATGGGGACGCATAGCATGTCAATGTCCACGTTTTCTGGCAGAATGGTCGGGTCAACGAGGACTGCCAAGCGAAGCGCCCCGGCGTCCGCAGAGGGTGGAGCTGGGTGGGCTCTGCGCCAGCAGCCGAGACGCCTGTAGTTTTACAGCCTAAACCCCTATGCAGAAGTACATTTCCGGTGTAGTATGTATATATCATATATTCTGACCCGTTCCCATGCTACGGCTCCAATGTGCATGTGCCCGCCAAATTAAAATCAGCTTGAGGACGTTCTAAGGTGCGCAGCTGGCTTTGGTGGGGTGAGTTGTTTGTTGTGAGACGGAGTGGTGCTGGTGCGGTTGCCGGGGGATGTGTTGGGTTGATCGGGGCAAGTTGCGGCAGTTTTGGAGAAAAGCCGCCACTTGGGTGGACTTGCGCAAAAAGTACATGGGGTAGTAGCCCAGGTCGATGGCCATGCCGTAACGATGGCGAGGAGGGGCGAGGTATTGGGAAATCAGCTTGACCACCAGAGGTGGCATGGGCTGAGGGCAGAAGGGTGGTGGCGCCCCACTGCTTTCTCAAGTCGCACTCAGCCAGATGCACACACAAGCTGCTTCACTACACACAAGGTCGCTGTCAAGTCGCCACACACAAGATGCTTCACTACTGCACAACAAGACCCAAGTCGCATTACACAAATATAAACGATGCTTTTCTCAAGTCGCACTCAGCCAGATGCACACACAAGCTGCTTCACTGCACACAAGGTCGCTGTCAAGTCGCCGCACACAACATGCTTCACTACTGCACATGGACAAGTACACTATGTGGGGGAATCTTGGCTTGGGCGGCGGTGGTTTCACTTTGCAAGCAGCCTTCAACGAGGGTTACTACGACTCGGCTGACATCTACACAAGTCGCAGCCAAGTCGCAGTCCACGAACCCGAACGCTTCCCCCAGAGCCCACCAATGGATCAGAATCTTGCAAAAACTGTAGTTCCTTCTTGGTTTCGTTCTCGGGGTTTTAGTACACCTCCCTAAAAAGGCACATCACAGGACCACCATCGAGCCCCTAATTCCGGACAGTTTGAGCAAGTTGCTTGCGGCATCAAGACTACTCTCCCCTCAGAACCATTGAAGTCTGAAAACAACCGAATTCCCCTGGTTTCTAGATAACGAGAATACATTGTACTCTTTAAGGAGGCTATCGAGAAGACTGATGGGTTCTGTCAGATTTAGCGGCGTCGGCCCTGCATTCGTACGGAAACAAGAACGCTCAAGCCCCGGGCGCTATAGACCCAGGAAGTCTATAACTCGCTATAACAACCGAGAAACGCCCATTGTAGTTGTGTCAAACCCCCTGTGCTTCCGGAGACCTATGTCTGGTGTCCAAAAGGCTTCTAAACCCCAAACCCTAAACCCTAAACCCTAGGCCCCCTGGAAGCGTAGGGTGAGACGAGCAACTTTTGAACGTTCGCAATGGCTGGGTTGTGCAGGAACTGCACGGAACCTTTGTGTACTCTCTTGACCTACTGGAAGGCGCCTTTACATTGAGATGCCGACACTAGCCTCTTATGGTAGTTGCATCGTCCCTTAGTATTGGCCCTAAACATGGGACCCCTTACATACTATTTGTACCCTAGACCACCCAAAGGCCCTGACATCAGAACCCGTTTAAGGGACCACAATATTCAGGACCAATGTAACCCTACACCCTAAACCCTCAACCCTAAACCCTAAACCCTTCGCTAGCCCCACACCCTAAAACCCCAACTCCTGCCGTTTTGTCGCTCCTTAGACTGGCGGGCCTTCTCATGCTCCTCCAGCTTCTGCGCGTATTCCTGACCCAACAGGGTCCAGGGCTCAGGGTTTAGCGTTTAGGGTTCAGGGTTTCGGGTTTTAGGGTTCAGGGTTCAGGGTTCGGGTTTAGGGTTCAGGGTTCGCGTTTAGGGTTCAGGGTTCGTGGTCCAGGGTTCAGGGTTTGGGATTTCAGGTTTAGGGTTCAGGGGTTAGGGTTTAGGGAGTAGGGTTCAGGGTTTCAGGTTTGGGGTGTAGCGTTCGATGGCCTCTGGACTCCTAGGGTTCAGAGGGTCTGGCCCCCCAGTTGTAAGCAGATGGTTGAAGGCCCGAAATTGGGTCGGAAGTCGTATGTCTGAAAAGTTCCTTTGCTACAGCTATAATATAATCATTCCTATATATATATATGTATATATATATATAGTAAGGGGCCCACCCCAATGTAACCATCAAAGCCTTTT